CGCTTGCACCTGACTAGTAATCATTAGGGTGGTCTGTGTGTGTGCTTGAACGTGAGGAGGGAGGTGGCTCACGTGCCTTTCCTGATAATGTCAGGTGGTGCTCACAGTTGAACGAAAGGGAGTGCCTCAGCCCTTTGTTTCTAACTGCACTAGCAACATCCATTTCTCTTAGAGACCTGATTGCCTTTAGAAGAGAGATATCAGCCGTGCACCTTGGCACAAGGGCTATTGAAAGGCTTGGTGGGTGGGTTGTGTCAGTCCCAGGGACTCAAGCAGGGCTTCACACTGACCTGTATCCTGAGGCATATTTTGTAGAGACAGAGTTTCACCAAGTTTGTCACACTGAGCTCAAGTTTGAAATCTTGTGCATCAACCTCCCAGAGTGCTGGGATTATGGGTGTAACTAACATGCCTGGCTTTTAAAAAAAAGAAATCCTTTATTTATGTATTTGGTACAGGGTCTTGCTACATAGCTGAGGCTCATAATGATTCTCCTGTCTCAGCCTCCCCAGCGCTGGGATTGCAGGCATGCACCACCATGCCTAGTTTTGGTGACTGGCACAACATGCAGTACTGGGAATCGAACCCAGCTTTTTGCAGGCTTTTATTTTGACCGTCCCCATCATGTGACTTCTCGTAAGGGTATCCTGGTTGTGTAAGCAGTGTTACTCTCATTTGAGTAGTAGAGGAATGATACTTCTTAAGAATGAAGTGAGGAGGTTTATATTTCTATTTTAATTGGTCAAAGGATTAGGCATAGCTTACTATTCAAATGTTGACATGTCAGTATTTTTGGTAAAGGATTTTTATCTTTTTATTTTTTTAGGGAAGAGTCTACAAGGGTGTTCAGGGTTTCAGTACTAGATGGGACTCATAGTGATCCACCTGTTTACAGCCTCCCAAGAACTGGAATTATAGGTGTGCACCACCGTGCCCAGTCTCAGTCACTGCCTCAGTGTGCCCTGGGGATCATTGGAACCCCCGGCCCCTGCACCTGCTTGCAGGTGCTTTAATCCACTGAGTTACTTGGCCAGACCTTTAGGATTTTTTTTTTTAAATAGGATTTTAAAGTATCTCTGTGCCTCTACAAGAAAATCTGTTGGTAAATATATGACCTATATGTAAACCAGACTTGGTTTTTTAGCATTTAATACATTTTCTCATAGTAATAATGCAAATGATAACACATTACAGATTGAATATCACTAATGCAAAACCCAGAAATCCTGCAAGCCCCGAAATCTGAAATTTCTTGAATACTGTCCTGATGCCACAGTGGAAATCCTCTGCCCTGACACTGCTTGGTGCACACATGCATGAAAGATACTGTATGCAGCTACCTGTTATGTTTTGTGGATAACTGCATATAAAGCATAGATGAATTTTGTGGTTCAGTTAGGCCTGTTCCCAAAATACCACATTTATTTTATTTTATTTTTTTTTTAATTTTTTTTTTATTTATATTTGTGTGTGTGTGTGTGTGTGTGTGCGCGCACGCGTGTGTGTGTGGCCAGCTCAGCCCACCAGGGGGCGCGGCTGGCTGGCATGTGGGGCCGGGGGATCGAACCATGGTCCCTGTGCTTTGCCAAGCTTGTTCCAAGTAGGTGCTCTAGACCACTGAGCCATCTCACCAGCCCCCCAAAATACCACATTTATACATGTGCAGATATCCCAAAATCTGAGGCGGATGTAAGGGTGATCTGGCTGTGACGTCTGTCACCCCATTGATTGCCAAGGTTGATTCGGCTGACCTACGCGCGTCCCCTTCCTCCCTCAACGATCCATGTACATCCGTCCTGAAGCTGAGCGCTCAGTCAAAGAGGATGACCACCCTGGACAGAGGAGGACTGTTCCTCGGTCAGGGGTATACGAGTAGCTGCGCTCGCCTGCTAGAACCTCCCAAGTTCCCAGAATCTGAGGAAATCTGAAAATGTTTTAGATACCCAGTCAATATTGGGTTTCCAAACATGTGTACATGTTCTTGTTTGGTTGGCTGTTTGTTTAGTTGGTTGGTTTTTCCGTTTTTTGTTTTTTTGAGACAGTTCAGGCTTGGCCTTGAGCTGTGTAGCACAGGTTGGCCTCAGGCTCACAGCAGACCCCCTGCCCCAGCCTCCTGGGCTTGCAGGTGTGCATTGTCACACCTGGCCTATGTATGGTTTTCAAGGTGAACTGAGCCCAAATCTTTGGTTCCTTTCCCTCCTCATGTCCCACTGAAATGAAATTTACAAAAATAAAAAATGAAGAAATCAGTAACAAGAAATACGGCTACCAAAGGATGACACAGATTTCTGGACCTTTGTTTGGGACCCAGAAGGCTCAATTGTACCCTGTCTTCACTTCACCATACCTGTTTTCTTTCATCCCCGAACTCGGGCTACAAGTAGCTGGCACAAATCCCAGGCAAAATATCAGACAGGTTTTCTTCAGAGAAGTTGGCAAGAGCTAGGACTTCTAAAGTACATATTCTGTTCCCAGAACAAAGAGAAAAAGCCATCCTCTCTCTCTGGCATCTAGGCCTGGTGCCTCCCCACCCACTCGCCCTGGGGGAGCGCTGCCAGCAGCCTGTGCAGGCCTGCACCCGCCTACACTCCCTGTCATCTCCCCAGGACCACATGCCAGCCAGGAAATAGGAGATTGTGCGCCTCCTGTGTCACCCAGCCTAGGAGGTGAGTGAGCAGCCCAGAGACCTCCAAACACATGAGGAGCTGACAGGAGCAGGAGACAGGTTCCAGAAAGGGACATCGCCAGTGGAAAACTCCAGAACCTCAGAGAGAACTTTATTTTAAAGTAAAGAACCCAGGAATCCAAGATAATGCTGCACCCGCTAAACAAGAATGGGCAGGCACAGACTTCAGCGTGGAGGAGCACACCATGTGCAGGACTGCGAGAATCCATGTCAGACCTCAACACAGCCTCTCAAGACTGCAGAATTTCTAGGATTAACAAAAGACTCAGCAGCCATACACATACCATACCAGGCTCGAATAAACCTTAGTGTTTTAAGGCAGTGAACCTCTGTGGCACAAGTGCCTGCCTGGCAAGCACAAGGTCCTGAGTTTGATTCCTGTCACAATGACAACAGAAAAGACAGTGAAGCTTCAGAATAAGATATACATACTTTGGGGAGAAAATATCCACCCACAGAGTCTGTATCTTGCTAAGAATGAGTGCAGATATAGTTGTTTTCAAATTCCAGTGACTACATAGTGAGTTCAAGACCAGTCTGAACTACAAGGCTGTCAAAAAAAAAAAAAAAGAAAAAAAGAAATTCATCTTAGGTTTGTATTTTTATCTCATTCCTGTAAAAAATGCTTATTGTGGGAAGAGTAAGGAAGGATTGCATTAACACAGTTAAGTAGCTGTGGATTCACATCATACAGTAATTACAGAGTGACTGGCCAGCATCCCTTTACTCAGCAGACTGAAATCAGCCATCCGTTGCCCAGGTAACTGGCATACTTTCTCATGTGTCCTGGTAACCCCTGCACTGTGAGCATAGCAACCTGACACACCCTCTGGCCAGCAAGACCAGCAGCATCGGATCCTCTCATCAGGACTGGAATGACGTCGTATGACTTCAGCGAGAAGCGGCATTCTGACTGTTGAGATTAGACTCGGGAGTAGAGCAGTAAGCAAAGGGAGAGCAGAGTCCTGTGGAGCTGGCACTGCCCTGATGTGATGCTCAGAGGGGAGCTGGTGAGGAGAAGGAAGGTTCAGAATGTGACTTGCGGGTAGAGCCAACGAGATGTCCTGACTGACTGAAAAGGGGTGAGCCAGAGAAAAGTCGGGGCTTTTCACATAGCAGCAGCAGGGGAAGGAAGGATAGGTTGGTAGAAAGATCAGCAGTGAAGTTGTAGGTGTTTTTCAGAAATCTGTTTGGCCTCACTTAGATGTTGGTAACAGATACGCATGCGTCTGTAATTCCAAAGAAAGGTCTGGCGTGGAGATAGCATTTGGGGGCAGTCAGCTTATCAGTTGTTTTTGGAGGCTGCTCAGAAATGTATGATAACGAGGCCTGAGGATGAGCACTTATGGAGTATTGCAGCATTTCAGGGGCAGGGAGACTGGAGGGACGCCTCAGAGAAGACCGGAAGCGGTCAGTGTGCTAGAACCGTGAGAGTGCGGGGCCCCAGAAACCAGGGGAGGACAGCTCCCGGCTCTGGCCTGCGTCGTGCGGGCTGTGCTGTGCTGCTCGGGCCACACAGGGTGAGCACTGCGAATGCTCAGCTGGCTTTGGCAACGTGGGTGTCAGTGTTTTTCCTCAAAAGGCTCTGGTTTTTTCCTGACAGTTACTAAGGTATTGGGACATAAATACTTCAGTGACGTGGTCTTAGCTACTTAAAACGGAACTGATAAAGCACTTTTTCGGCTTGTGGAGGGGCAGTATTAAAAACATACTGGTGTGCCAAGCATCTCAGTTACTCTTCTCTCGTTGCTGAGACAGGTACCCAACAGCCAAAATGAAGGAAGGAAAGGTTTGTTTAGCTCATAGTTAGTGGAGGTTTCAGTCCATACTCGGCTGGCTCCAAGGCAGAGCGGCACATGGCAGAGGGCAGCAGCTCATGGCGGTGGAACAACAACAATGCAATAGAGAGAGAAAGACTGTCTCTTATATATTACATTCAGGCTGCCGCCCCAGGGTGGGGTGTAGTACACCCATAATCCCAGTGGATCATGAGTTAATCTCAAACTCTAGAAGTCCCCACCCCATGACTGAATGAGGCTTTAGGGGGACAACTAGTCACAAACCATAACACCAAGGGAGCACAACGTAAAACAAATGTGGGCATCTCTGCCTCAGAGGATGGTGCTGCTTGAGCATTTCCCTAGAGGGCAGAACCTCATCTCTTCTTTGTGCTAAAAAGTTGAGTTAGAGATTTCAAGTCTGATCAGATTATGAGTATTTAATACAATTGGGCTAATATGGTTGTTAAATAAAAATACATACTGCGTGCATATCAGTGACCTCTCTGTGCAAATGTTTCTGCTTGCCCCCGTAGGTATGTTCTGAATATGCGTTGCTTGGCAGCCCGGGTCAGCTATAAGACTTTGATCATCATCTGTGCGCTCTTCACTTTGGTCACAGTGCTTCTGTGGAATAAGTGCTCCAGCGATAAAGCAGTCCAGTTTCCGCGACATTTGAATAGTGGCTTCCGAGTGGATGGAGTAGAAAAAAGAGCAGTGGCGGCATCCGAGAGGAACCACTACCTGAACCATGGGGCCAAGCAGCAGTCGGACGAGGCCTTCCCTCAGGAGCAACAGAAAGCACCCCCTGTTGTCGGAGGTTTCAATAGCAACGGGGGAAGCAAGGTGTTAGGGCTCAAATACGAGGAAATCGACTGTCTCATAAATGATGAGCACACGATCAAGGGGAGGCGAGAGGGGAGTGAAGTCTTTCTTCCATTCACGTGGGTGGAGAAATACTTTGACGTTTATGGAAAAGTGGTTCAGTACGATGGCTATGAGCGGTTCGAATTCTCCCACAGCTATTCCAAAGTCTACGCACAGAGAGCCCCGTATCACCCCGATGGGGTGTTCATGTCCTTTGAAGGCTACAATGTGGAAGTCCGAGACAGAGTCAAGTGCATCAGTGGGGTGGAAGGTCAGTGTCTTTCTGCTCCACTTGCTGCGTCTAGCCTGGTGGTGCTGGCAGGTGCAAGGTCAGGTCAAGGGACCTTCTGTGGCTGTGCCTCACCAGGGACGAATAGGTCAGGTCTGCACCTTGCATCAGTAGGATCATCCCATCACTCTGCCTAAATCCCACATTCTTGCTCGCAAGGGTGAGCACAGCATGTCCTCAAGACTTGGCTGGTACCTGCACAGTTACCTGTTAGGGTGGGAATCTGAAATGTCCTCACACAGCTCCTGTGCTCAAGGCATGGTCCCCAGTGCAGCAGCATCCAGGGCTGGGCCCTTGCAGGGTGAGGAGGCCCTGAGGCCTCTGGTGTCCTAGATGGACCATGGGGTATGGGCTTCAGGGGGTGGGGCCAAGCTGGACGCAGTGGGTCCTGGACAGGGCTGCGTCTCCTTCTCCTCCCTGCCTCCTGGCTGCCATGAGGTGGGCAGCCTGGCTTCACCACACCCTATGCCACGACCTTCTGCCCCAGCAGCGGAGCCATCCTGTCTCCTGGACCAAAACCAGGTGCCCAAGGAGGTCTTTCCTCATGAAAGTTGATTTCCTCAAGCATTGTGTCCCGGTGACAGAGAGGTGGTCTCATCTCGGACAGGGTTTCCAGGCCTCCACGGGCAGTGCGGCAGCACTGTTGGTTCTGCATTTGCACCAACCTCCTGTAGTCTATGTGTACTGTCTTCTGTTGTCCTTAAAACCTGCAGCATTTGGATATAGTTAATACATTTTAGAATTTACTTTGCTTTTGCCAGTACCTAGGATCGAACTCAGGACCTTGTACTTTCCAGGCAGGTACTTAGACCTGCTGAGCTATCTTCCTGGCCCCTAGAATTTGCTTTTCAAACATAGGATTTACTGGGGGGGGGGATTGAATTTGCCTTTAAAATACATCGTTTAAACCAAGTAAATAACAGTGTTTTTGAGATTGTTTGGTTTGGTTTTTGTTTTGTTTTCCTTATTTTGTTAGAAAGTGATTTAATTTCCATTTTCTTTTTTAATAGTAGGCCTGATTTAATATTTATAAAAGCCACGTCGAAGCAAGCTGTCCACTTACTGTATATTTTCCCTTTGGAATGAAGTGTGCTTGCCTGGTATGTGGATGTTTTCAGACTTTTTGGGTCCAAGGCACACATTAGAAAACTGAAGCCTGTATATTTTGGTGCAGGATTTCTCCTTTGTTTTTATTATTTATGTGGGTGTTCGTGTGTTTGTTATGTATTTGGTCCAGGGTCTTCCTAGGCAGCTTGGACTCACAGTGATCCTCTTGTTTTCAGCCTCCCCAGCTCTGAATTACAGGCGTGCACCACCACGCCCAGTCTCGGTGGCTGGCTCAGTGTGCCCAAGCGGCGGGGCTGATATGGTGCTGGGGATTGAACCCTGGCCCCTGTACTTGCCTAAGCGGACGCTTAGCCTACTGAGCTATCTTGCTGACCCTTATTTATATAGGTTTTTAAACATTTACCAAATGTTTACAAGAGGAAAGGGGACAAACATACCTATATACTCTCACTTCAAAATAATTGTTGCTGTTTTTGTATATTCCTTAAAGACCTTTATAGTTAGACATACGTTTATCCTGCTTTTAATAATATTTCCTCTACAAGGATTCAGGAGAGTACAGTGGTATCTTGGTTTATGAACTTAATTTATGATTTGGAGGAAGATGATTCCACTTGTGTTTGTATTGGGGAAGGTGGTCCCGTGGTCGTGTTTGTCATGCTATGTGGAGTTTGTGAATGGAAGCAAAATGCTGCTGACCACTGTTGCTTGTGCACCAAATTGTTCGCAGACAGCAGCATTTGTGAGCTGAGCTGTTGCTGTACTCATCTGGTGGAGACCGCAGCTGTGCCGTTGGCTAGAATCTCGACGGCAGTGTGCAGGAGGTGCTGTGGTGCAGGGTGAGACAGCCCGGGCCCGCGCCGGCCAGCGGGCTTCCATGCTGTGATAGCTTTCGGGAGAGCAGACCAAGGCCTGGGAGAGCTTACTGACGCCCACTTTCACGCTGGAACCGCACTTCAGCACTCATCCGGGGACAGACATGCGCCACCCCAAAGCCGTAGCTGTCCCTAGCTCCTTGGCGGTGCGCTGAACCACATACGGTCTTGGAGGCCCCAGTCTCCGCTGTGCCACTCACATACCTGACAGTTGTTTGTAAACTAACAGATACGATGACAGCTCATCTGAAGGCATCTGGCGTGATTCAGCAGTGTGCAGTGTAGTGACGCAAGTCCACGTAGAAATTCCCGAGACACGAATCCCATATAGTGAAATTTTTGCTTTCTATCTTGAGATAATCTACTGATGGATTATTTTAAGACTCTGATCAAATATAAAACTTTAATTCAATTTTAAAACTACTCCTGGTTCAGAAGTGTGTTTTTTGAGGGGCTGTTTTGTTGTCTTTGGTTTTGGCTTTTGAGACAGGCTCTCACTGTAGTTCCGACTGCCCTTGAAGCTCCCCTTTGGCACACGCTGGCCTTGAATGCATGGCAGGCCTCCTGCCTCAGCCTCCAGAGTGCTGGGACGACAGGTGTGGGCCGCCAGTCCATCCAGGAAGTACATTTTGGTAGGAAGGATAGGAGAAAGAATTTCAAACTGTTGATGTTCTAAGTTGCCCGGGTACGACTGTGTTAAGCACATGTTTGACCTGTCAGATAATAGACTGCGTTATTAGATCATACCTTGACACTGGAGTGCCAAGTAAACAGCATGATCGAGTAGAAATGCTAAACAAAATTTAGGATTAATGTTTAGAATAAAATGTATGTGCCTGTATTGCTTCTGAATTGTACAGACTTTGCATCTGTGAAATAGGATTATAAAAAATCTATAGCTAATAGCAGAAGTAACGGACATAGAGAATCTGTAAAGGCTAATTTATAATGTGGAGCTGCTGCCAACAAATAAGAAAGATGAGCGAGCACTTACCCTCCGGCTAGTTGGTTACTGCCGCCCAGGAATTCAGAAGGCTTGGAAGTTGCTGATAGCCCTCGAGCCCGGCAGCGGCACTGTGAAGAGTAGCATTCAGACGGGCCTGTACTGTCCGGGTGTGCTCATGCATTTGATTTCTGTGCTTACAGGCGTGCCGCTGTCTACCCAGTGGGGACCTCAGGGCTACTTCTACCCGATCCAGATTGCACAGTATGGCTTAAGTCATTATAGCAAGAATCTGACGGAGAAACCTCCTCATATCGAGGTGTATGAAACAGCAGAAGACAGGGACAGAAACAGCAAAGCTAATGACTGGACTGTGCCCAAGGGCTGCTTTATGGCCAGTGTGGCTGATAAGTCTAGGTTCACCAATGTTAAGCAGTTCATCGCACCAGGTAAGTAATGCACTGCATGTGGCTGCTAATTTTATATCGATTTATGGTGCCTGATACGCCCTTAAAATTTTAATGTTTTTAAAAACATGTTAGCAGGCTGTTCATTTTACATCCATAATAAATGGAATAGCCCAAGTGGAATCCCAGGAGAAGACACAGCTAAATGAGCAAGGTTATGGCAGAGTCCTTACTGTGTGAAGAGCAAGCCTTAGACTGAACGTCGTGGTCCAGGTGACAGAGCAGGGCCGTATCCCAGGGAGCCAGCCCATGGCTTCTGTTCTGTGGTGCTGGGGGTCAGCCTGGGGGTGAGCGCGTGCCAGGCCCGTGCCCTCCACGCAGCTGCAGCCCAGCGTGGTCTGTTGGCACTTCTCAGCGCAGTACCTTGGTACTTGCTTGCTTTCAAGCTTGTCAGACTTGGGACCGCACACGTTTTGACATAAAGCATTCTGCCCCAGTGCCAGTCGCCGTTTGGTTGCCGCACACAAGCTGGCGCTGCCCATGTTGGCTGCCTCCCAGCCTCTGCCCTTTCTGGGCTGCACCATTTCTTTGGTTCTCTTGCTCTTGGCGCTTGTCATACCTCCCAGAAGCAACAGGCACATCCCCAGGGACCACTGCAGTTTAATTTGGAAAACTTTTATGGAGAGCTATCCTTTTCTTTGCATATCTTTTACTAAGAGCTTTTTGCTTTTCTAAGAAAATATAACATTACCAAATAGGCCTGCTTCCATATTGAATTTTACTAATGTACTAAATTATCTCAAACTTCATATAAAACCATTTTCATTAATAAAATCATTTATGAAATCAAATTAACTTTATGCAACATTTCCCCTTTTACTAAGACAGTCCCATTAATTAGGATGTAATATATTTTTTGCACTGATCAATATCCATGAGAATTAATGAGTCCGTTACTTAAAAAGACAATGAAATCATCTTAGCACCTCAGGCTTCATTCTCTCTGGGAGAAATGTTGTCAAGATCAGAACTCATCTCCTCTGCCAACCCTACACTCAGTAAATAAGAAAGAGGAAAGGTTACCAGACTTTTTCTATATTCTCTCCTTGTCCTTTATTGATGACTGTGTAATTCACAGACCTTGAAGCCACAATACAAATCTACTCGTTCTAGGTGACCTTAAGTAATGGATTTATGAGGGTTTAATGCAGTGCAAATAATGGATGACCTTTAGGTTTTATTCTGTGACTAGGACTTCTTTTTCCCATGGCATTCTGTGATATTGCAGTACATAGGGCATCTTTGCTTATTGTAAAACAGTAGGCTTGACTGGTGAGAAATTACAAGGAAGTGTTTAAGAATATTTAACTTGTGATTCCTAAGAGGTTACTGCAGCAGGAAATTATTAGACCAAGCAAAAGAACTTTGAGTTTTGGATTCACACAAAGAGTGTAGTCTATATTAATTAATATGTGGTCTAGATTAAGGTTGCAAACAGCCCTCATCCTGGTCTCGAGTGGGAGAGGCTGTCTTAGAACGGTGTTTTGCACACTGTCCTGTTCGAGGCAGTGGCTTTCGTGGTGCACCGTTGGGTGCCCTGGATTATGCAGAAGTAGATCCTCACATCCTATGTGAGCGATCCTTACCTTTGCCCTCCATTGGACTGTGGCCAGTAGCTGGAGGTGAAACCTTTTAAGCAAAAGGAGGAGGTCCCTGAGCGGCAGCCACTGGCCGATGCGCCACGCCTAACCAGGGTTGGAGCGCTGCTGTCGGTGTGCTAGCTGGGAGGGGAGTGCATGCTTTGACCCCCTGAGTGTGCCTGTGCCGCATCCTACAAGGCAGGAGGAAGATAGGTGGGAGCCCGAGGTTCTCCTCAGCAGAGCAGAAGAGGGCAGCAAGGAGGTGAGTCCGCTGTACTGAAATGACCGTGAGAGCTCTCAGAAGGGACAGTCATGGGGACGGTTCAGGGAACACCTGTGAATTTCTGAAGAAATCAGGATGTGGGCATGAGAGCCTGGGTTTAGTGAGATGCAGCTGGAGGACCACAGGCTGAATGCTGTTGGCCTTTTTTCCCTTGGCATTGAGGTTTTTTCCCCTGGAAGGAAACAGGAATCATCTAAAGGTCCATTACATAAGTCTGCAGCGTATTTTTTGTTTTGTTGGATAATGTTTTCTCTCCCTGATTATAAAATTGAATGAATAGAAACATTATGCTAGTCCTGTTCTATTAAATTACATCAGCCTTCCCTCTCCCAACGCCCTCTTTATTTCCTTCCCGTGACCTTCCTGCTCCGTCTTTGCCTCTTGTGCTTTTGTGAGCTTCTTTTCTTCTGCCTGCTGTTTGTCTTGGGTATCTGTGAGGCTGAGGGCGCGGCCTCCTCTCAGCGGGGTGGACCTGTTGCATCAGTGTGTCTGCTGACCAGGAGAAAACACCCCTGGAAAGACCTTTGCAGCTTCATGGAGTTGTGACTGACAAGTGCAGTTGTGCATATCTCCGTTGTACAGTACAGTGAGACACGCATCCATCCATCCGTGCCACATGTTACAGGCGTTCCGTGAATGGGCTCTTAGATGATTTTCACACCCGGCCGTGCACACAGGAGTCCAGATTCCGCTTCCTCTGAGTTGATATCCAGAAACTAGATCGCTGCTGCTCTGCTTGTAGTTCAAGAGCAGCCTCCATGCTGCTTCCGAATGGCTGTGCCACCTTTCATCGCCTCTCAGAGCTCTCGGCGCCCTTGGCTCCAGGTCCCCAGCGGTGTTTTGTCAGCTTTGTCTTTTGGTGATGGCCATTCACACAAGTGTGAGCTGCGGCCCTTGGTTGAGGGCCGCAGCTGCAGTGGCCAGGGCTGTGGAGAGCCTTGGCCCCCAGAGTGGCTTCTCTGGGACCACTGCTTAGTTGTATGATCTCCCATAGACTCTGGGTATTGAACCTTTACTCCATAAATGATTTGCAAACATTTTCTCCACTTCTATAAATTGTCTTTTTATTTGATTAATTACCTTTCTGTGCAGAAGCTTCACAGAGTGCTGTAGACCCACTCTTTTTGCTTTTGTGGCCTGTATGTTTAGTGTCAAATCACAAAATCGTTGACAAGATCAATGTCAGGACTGCTTCTGAATGTTTACCACCCTTCGTTGCCTAAGGCATATACCACACTTGAGGAATAAGCGGTCATAGGCGCTCCTGGGGGTGGCAGCTCGCAGAGGGTAGGGGTTATGAATTTCAAACGCTAGAAAAAGGAAAATCCTCTCCTAGCAGATTTGGAGCAGGGATCCCAGATGGCTGTGTTTCCGGAGAGCTGAGAGCCTGGCCAGCTGTGTTTCTAGACTACTGTCGCAACGACCTCACTAGCATTTTCAGACCTCGCCGAGCAGGGATGGCAGTTATTTAACTTCACGTGTAGGTACATCTGAAGACTAGGAGTGTAGATTGCCTGATTTAAAGAGAGGATTGTGACTTCTGTCATTACTGCTGAATGACTCGGTAACCCCCTCTACTGGTATTAAGTTTGTAGAAAAATTAAGCTTTTTTTTT